AACGATTTTATGTTATCCGTCTAGATTGTTTCCGTCAATTTTTAATTTTTACTCAGAAAAATCATTTACGTATAAAATAGAGAAAATAACTTTTATTATATTGTTATATTTTATTTATTTATTTTATCTGTTCGAATAAGTTTCAATGACATATACTTATATACACACTTTAACATAAGAACATTTCTTGAATTAAAATAAAAATATGAAAGTAAGAGATTTTTGAATGAAAAAAAAACGAACTTATAAATATCTTTAATGTACATTCGAAATACAAACACTGACTATGTAAAATGAAAAACAAGTAGTATTAAACAAGGAGATGTTAAATACAGAAAAAAAAAATTTGAAGAAGTGTTAGGTTATCAATATTTACACATGCAGTTTCTGAACTTGTTTTTCTTTCATCACATACGATGAACTTTCGTTGAACCCTAAAAAATATAGATGGAGAAAAAGTAATTTTGAATTTTCTAAACTTACTTCATCCAAAACAACATTCGTTTATCAGATGTTATTAATATCATTATTACCATGATTCATTTGTAGTTGTAAAACTGTTGCTGCTGCTATATGTTGCGTGTTGGCTTTTTTCACGCTGTGTCGAGCACAATGAATCGAGTTTCCGATTGCATCCTTTAACATTGCCATTGTATAGATACAGTCTGGAGAGCAACGTTGTGCAAAAACTATAACGAAATTCCATCATTAATCAAATGAAAGCTGCAATTTATCATTTTTTTTCTCTTTTTATAAAAAAAAGAAACCTGTACAACATAACTTACCATAAATATCGTTTAATAAATTTGGATATTTTGTTATAACATGAGCCACATTTTTTAAATCTTCTTTAGCTTTATTGGTAGGAATCATCATCATCAGTCGACTGCAAACAGGCGCGGTTTACAGGCGATAACAATATCGTACCAGCTTTTCTTGTCTGCAGCAGCCTTTCTGATTTCTTCGATCGTTGGTGGATTGTCATTGTTGATCAGTCTTGCGACGTAATCAACGTATTTCAAGCGGGGTCGTCCACGCTTACGTTTTCCATGGCCAGGTTTCGGAGTGTACAGAGCATACATGTTGGTAAATTCATTTGAGTTTCGGCGTAGACAATGTCCAATAAAGCGCAGTTGTCGACGTTGTATTGTTTGTACCAGGGGTTCTTGTTTCACTTTTTCGTAGATTGTGTTATTTGATATTTTGTCCAATCGTTTAATGTTGAGTATTATTCGATAACAGCTAGTAGCGAAGCTGTTTAGGGACTTCTCAAGGGTTTTTGTGATGATCCAGCTTTCGGAGCCATATAGTAAAATCGAAATGCAAGAAGCTTTGAAGATGTTAATCTTCAGCTTCGTAGGTATTATTGTCGATTTCCATATGTTTCGCAATTTCCAGAAAGCTTTCCATGCTAACCCTTTCCTTACTTTGATATCTGTGTTGCTTGAGAGTACCATTGAGCCAAGGTATTTGAAATTGTCTACCCATTGAATGTCTTCTCCATTTATTTGCATAGATTTGTTGTTGGTATTTTGGTTTTTTAGTGCTTGTGTCTTTTTGATGTTGACTTGTAAGCCTACTTTATCGGCCCATTTCGTCGTTGTGTTCAATTGTGTTTGTGCTCTGTCGAAGTTACTTTCAAACAGAGCGATATCATCAGCAAAGGCTAGATCGTGAATTGTTGTTGCTGGTTGTCGTTTTGATTGTCGTTGATTTGTTACAAATCCATGTTCACCTTGTTCATTTGTGTGTTGTGTTTCCGCATTTTTCATGACGTAATCGATTACAATAATGAAGAGGAATGGTGCCAATGTATCACCTTGTAAAACACTGGTAGTAACGTCGAATTCTTCTGTGAGTTGACCATCCACCAGAACTGCACTTCGTGAGTTGTTGTATATAGTTTGAATTGCGTTGATCATTTTCGTTGATATTCCATAATGCCTGAGAATATCAAACATTGTTTTTCTTTCAATAGAGTCAAAGGCTTTTTTGAAGTCTATGAAGGTGATGTAGATTGGTAGCTGTTTATCCACTGCACCTTCTAGTATACGACGTATTGTATGTATTTGGTCTATGCAGCTTCTTCCTTTCCGGAAGCCAGCTTGATTTATTCGAAGAATTGAATCAAGCGGTTCCCGTATTCTATTTAGAAGTATTCAATTGTATGTTTTGGCTGCAACAGACATGAGACTTATACCTCTGTAGTTCGACATGAGAGTTTTATCTCCCTTTTTGGGTATAGAGATGATGATGTTGGTGTTGAATTGTGTTGGTGTTGTTTGATTTTCGAATATTTCGTTGCATATATTGCATAGCTTGTGAACGATCCAATCGCCGTCGTACTTGAGTACTTCTGGTGTTATGATGTGATCGAGTCCGGGAGATTTTCCGTTTTTTAGCTGTTTGATTGCTTGTTGTACTTCGTCGATCGAAATTGGGCCTGTGTTGATTGGAAGATCTTTGTCGGCTGGTAGAATTGTTTGTGTAATTGGAGATGTATTTGACTTGATGTTGAGTAATTCTTCAAAGTATCGTTTCCATTCGTTCATCAGTTCTGCGGTTGAGTTGATTTTAGAACCGTTTGTACTTTTGATCTTTGTGGCGTTGTTGTACCTACGTTTTCCACTAATTTGATCTATGAGGTTCCACGTGGTTCTTGATTGATTTGAGATTGCGGCTTGATTCAATTGTTCAAGTTTGTCTTCAAGGAATTGGATTTTGTCGTTTTGGTAAGATGCGTTGAGATGTTTGTTGAGTTGATGCCAGTTGTTTTTGTTTGAATATGTTTTTGGCTTTGTTTCGTTTTCTCAAAAATTTGATGGTTTCGTCCGAGACCCAGTTCTTTTTGATTGATTGTTTTGCTTGTCCGGCTAGTTTTTCTGTTGTTTGTTTTATACTTTCTATGAAATTGTCATATTCTGTTTGTATGTTGTTGTTGTTGGGGTTGTTTGCGTTGAGGACATCGTAACGATTTTGGACTTCGATGTTGAATTGAGATTGGAGACTGCACTTGTTTTTGAGTTTGGTCCAATCGTATGTGATGCGTTGGCATTTGTTGTTTTTTGGTGCTCGTAGGCTGATAGACATTTTTACACTCACTATTCGATGGTCGGAATGTAGTTCGACTGTGTTGTACGCGCGAGCATTTCGAATTGAGTTTAACCATTTCCCATTGATGAGGATATGGTCTAATTGAGCTGTTGATTTGCCATTGGGGTGTAGCCAGGTCCAAGTTCGTGATTTTGGTTGAGGGAAGCGTGTTTGTGTCGATCGCATGTTGCATGCTTCGCAATAGTTGACCAATCTATTGCCATTGTCGTCTGTTGTGTTGTGATATGTGTGTCTGCCAATTGCTCGTGGATTGGTTAAGTGGCTGTCGGATCCAAGTCTTGCATTTAGATCACCGGCGAGAATTAGAACATTGTTAGGTGGAACATCTAATGTACATTTTTGTAGATCATCGTAGAACGCATCTTTATCAGCGTCATATTTGTCTTCTGTGGGCGCATATGCAACGATGATTGTTATTGCAGGATTGGTTTTGAAATGTACGATTAAGATTCGATCGGATATTTTTTCGGTTGAAGAGTGTAGTGTAGAGAACCGTGGATTCATGAGTAGGCCGACGCCTCCCTGGCCTGTTGGTATTGCTGAGGAGTATTCGAACCGCCATTTTGAATTGTTGCAAGCTTCGATGTAGGTGCCGGTTTGTCCGTGTGTTTGCCAACGATGTTCTTGTACAGCTACCAGATCGATGTTGTTTTCGTTGCATCCGTGTATGAGTTGGTGTAATTTGCCAAGTCTTTTGGGTGTGCGAACGTTGTAGGTTGATATTGTGATGACCTTGTGGATTGTTTTGGTTTTTGGTTGGTTTCGTCGTTGCAATGTCAAAGACAGGTAACTGCTTTATCATGGTCATAGATTTCTTCGAAATCTCCGTTTGCTGGCGACGAAGCGAGAGAGTGTTGCCCGGAATGGGTTCTTCTATTGTTATTTTCGAAGTCATTGTAGAAGGCATCTCGGGTGACTAGCCCTGAGAGCCTTACCAGAGCCCATCTTAGCCGTCA